TCGTGACAATATGGCTCAAGGGGTGTAAGAATAGACACCTTTTTCCCGAGAGTGCAGCCAAATACTTTACCAGGGGGAATACATTCCACTCCTCTCAAATACAATAGCCTCGGCGCGGACAGGTTTTCTGAGCTTGGCGAGAGCCATCTATCGTCGGGGAGGTCTCCGCTATCGATGATATTGATGTTCTACATACCAAATTCATTGTTGCGGAAATACGCGAGACATGTGCCGCGCGCCACTTCTAAGAACAACATGGCGTCTAAACTCTAGCTCAGTGGCGCGATAAATACTTTGCTGCGCTGTGCCGCCATGATGTTCATAAGAATCGCACGTTGCACGTGCCTCGTGCATCGACGCACCTTGCGCTACTTTTGAAACATGAAGGGGCTTTAAGCCTGGTTCAGACAGTTGCGTTTGACTGCGTTTGACTGTGTTGCGGCTGCGAGAAACCAGGACTTAACTGCTGCTTATATCGCGTGCCAAGGTGATTCCTTGAATTGGATTCCACGCCTCGTACGAAGCACAGATGTTCCGGTGACTCGCTTTCGGTACTCGACGCAACGCAGTCAAACGCACTCAAACGCAAGTGTCTGAACCGGCCTTTAGGTGGAATCGGAGACAACACCGCCGCGGCCACCGCGAACGTCCGCGTGCACTTGCGCGTGGATTGACGCGGACCTCCGATCCGTCAGGGCTGGACTCGGCGCTGTAGGCGTTCTGTCTAATGCAAATGAGCAGAGTGGAATGTATTCCCCCTAGTAAATTATTTGGTACAGCTACACAATGGCTTGCCCTCCCCCCCCCCCCCCCCCCCCTCATCAGTCACGTCGCAGACGTCCGGCGTCTCGTCAGACACGCGGCAACAACAAGTGGTCACCGAGCCCTTCAAGAGCCTGCTACTACCACCGCCGCTTCGGAGCCAACGCCCGTCATTGCCTCCACCCCTGTTCATGGCAGGGAAGCAGGCCGCCCGACGTATAGAGACCACGAGTGGTGAGGGCCTCGACGAAAGTCGCCTGTTCTACGTGAGTGACCGAGTCAGCAAGAACCGTTACCTTGTCGACACCGGAGCGTAGATCAGCGCAGTTCCAACAACGCGTACCGACCGTCCTTTAACACCGATCTATTTTCTGCACCCAGTACCCAACAGCACAATCCCTGTATACCGAAAACGGGCAATCACCCCTAACCTCGGCTTCCAGTGGGTATTCTGGTGGATTTCCCTAGTGGCCGGTGTAAGTCAAGGAATTTTCGGCGCGGACTTTCTCAACCACTACAAGCTCCTCGTGGCTGTTAGAAGCAGGCAATTGATAGACTCTACCACTTAGGTCACAACACCTAAGTGCCCAAGTTGTGACTCCATTGAAACAATTCATCACATTTTCTATGATTGTGTCATCTACGGCGCAGAAAGGACACAACTCAAAAGCACGCTAGCATGCCGATACAACCGACCTTTCTCCGTGACAACCTGCTTGGTAGTTGGGACAAACAACACAAAGAAGCCAAGGCTACAATAACACTTGTTAGATTCTTAAAAAAACAACACGCCTGGACTTTTGCTTAAGAAGATGACATTCATTGTTAGTGAATAGCGCATTGTTACAGTGTTCAAACTTTGTAGCTCTTACGATGTTTTTTAAATATTATTTTATCTTTCTGTTCTTTTTTCTCTCCTTTAATCCCCTCATCCCCCTCCCCCCAAACAAAGTAGCAAACCGGGACAAAATACCCCAGGTTAACTTCTTTGTCTTCCTTCCTTCCCTTTCTTCCTCTTCCTACCACGCAACTTTCCATCCATGGTCTCCCAAGGACGGCGATTCAGTCTACACCTCTGCCTGCACGATCAGGAAAAAACGTTCAAGACCTCGCTGAGTAATTTTCCGAGCCTTACTTTCTCACCTGATGGAACAAAACCAGTCTCGCGCAACCTACACCACCATATCCTGACGTCAAGACCACCTGTTTACTGTCGGCCCTGCCATCTTGCCCCAGAGAAACTCTGCAATGCTCGCCAAGAGTTTGAGGACACGTTATGGTCAGTTACACATTAAGAAACGTTTCCAAGGGAAAGGAGGGCTGGGGAGGAGGAAGCTCACGGAATGCTGGAGAGGAGAAGAGGAAATACCACGACTCTCTTCAGCGTTCCGTCTGCTTCCTCCTCTCGAGTCGTCTTTCCCTCGAAAACTTTTCTTAACCTGTAACTGACTACAGAGGTTGGCATCGTCTTACCCTCGCCTAGCAGCTGGGCGTGTCTGTTGCACATGGTGTCGAAGAAAGGTGGAAACTGGCGGTCATGTTGCGATTATATTGCCCTTCATAAAAAACCTGTACCGGACAAATACGCTGTACCCAACATCCAGTAATTCACGGCGAGCCTTCAAGGCACGAAGATCTTCTCAAAGATTGATCTGACACCGGTCTACCACCAAATTTGCGCGGCCGAAGACATCCCGAAAACAGCGATCACAACACCGTTTGGACTTTTTTAATTTCTCCGCATGGCCTTCGTCCCCAAAAACACGGCTGAGTCATTCCAACGGTTCATGGACGCTTTAATGCCAGGGTTACCTTTCGTCTTCGCATACGTAGACGATTTGCTCATATCCAGCAAGGCACATGGAGATCACACGACCCGCTTAGACCTCCTCTTCGAACGACTACGCTGCCACAGCATTGTCGTTAAAGGCGCGAAAAACGTGTTCGGGGTTCCGAAATCGGACTTCCTTGGTCATCGTCTCGACGTCTCGTGCATTTGTCTATTGCCTTCGAAGCTACTAGCCATCTAAGATTTTCCGAGAGCGACCTCAAACACCAAGCTTCGACAGTTTCCCGGTTCGGTAATTTGTTACCGAAGCTTCGTTGTGAACTTCGCAGAACTGCTCGAGCATCTCGAGATGCTCCTAACAAGACAGGAACGACAAACGTCGTCCCTTCCTTGGAACGAAGATGCAGAACGCGCTTTCGGCGAGGTGAAGAACTCACTTGCAGAAGCAGCAATGCTAGTACATCCTAAGCATGACGCCTCAACATCGCTGATGACTGACGCATCTCGCACAGCCGTAGGAGCGGTGCTTCAACAATAGGTCGACGGAGAGTGGCGGCCGATTGGTTTCTTTTTCCAACAAGCGCGAGCAACCGCTAACACGCGACAGCGCTTTCGGATGTGAGCTATTGGCTGCCTACTTGGCTGTGCGACAGTTTCGGCATTTCTTGGAGAGACGGCCATTTACCCTATGGACTAAACAAAAGCCTCTAACTTACACCATCTGAAATTCCAGGTCTCATTACACACCAGGTAAAATTGGCCAGCTAGCCTTCCTGGCCGAAATCACAACTGAGATTCGTCACGTCAAAGAAGTTGACAACGTCCACGGTGACGTTCTCAGCCGGATTGACAACGTCATCAATCGAACTTCTTCTGCTCTAAACTTGGACATTTTTGGCCCGTCTACAGACCTCATAGCAAGAATAGCATGCATGGTCTTCGAAATTCATCGACGTCACTAATAAGGCGCGATGTAAGCTTTCCAGAAGGCCCCATCGTGGTTTGCGACCTGTCAACGAGAACACCCAGGCCTTTTGCACCACGTGAGCTGCGACGACAGTTTTTTTAAGCGTTTCTCCGCTATATTTATTAGAAAAATTAACGTCACGTTACATGATGTCACGGGACCTATACTTAAGTGCAGTTTGCCCGCTAGATTTAGCGGAAAAATTAGCGTCACGCGATCCAGACTCAAATTCAGTTTACCCGCTAGCGGAAAAATTGACACCTGACCGGCCGCGACTTGTCATTCCCCAAACACTGTGGACCTGGGGTCAGAGTATCGATAAACGTTTGTGATTTAAGAACGTTTCACCGACCTCCTACAATGGCCGAGCAATTTGCCATACAATTTTGTTCGTATGTGTTGTGATGTACCACCAGGAAAGCAGGTTGCTGTTGGTGTCCTTCAATAAATAAACACATTTTTACAAATGCGTTCCGAGGCGATATGTCAGAAGAAACCAAGCCATATTTTTATGGCAAAGGGAAAATAGATCAAAACGAAAGTTGGCGAAATGCTTCAAAGACCATCATATCAAAGTCTTATAGTCACTGGTCATGACCTGTTGTTTCGGTTAAAAGATGGACGGATCCGAAAAGTTCTGGTAGTGGCTGAGAGCTTATGCTCGGCAGTATGTTGCTCCATGTATCACTTGCCTAATGCGCTAAATACTACCAAATCTAAGAGAACCGGAAGTCATGCAAAACCTTTACCAGTAAGTCTATTCGAAGTAATAGGAGTAGCGTTAGTGGTGAGTTAGTGTTAGAATTAAAGTTAGAGCTAGTTAGAGTTAGTTAGAGTTAGAGATAGTTTGGGTTAGTTAGAGGTAGATAGAGCTAGATATAGACTTATTTAGAGCTTGTGTTAATAGAATTAGTTGAGTTAGCGGTGACAACTCCACTAACTTCCGGTTACGCTTTTTGTGGCTCCGCCTGATATGAAAACCCAGCATAAACATGTTTCACGTTAAAAAGAGGAACCTCTGGGATGTTGTTTAAGCAAGGGTATCTGTGCTCCTTTGAAGTCATCTTAGATGTACACAGTAAACAGGGCAAATACTTTAAAGCTATTGCGTGCCTTTCAAAATAAGCAAGCGGCGGGGACCTCACACATATCGCGTCCAGTAAATACAAAGTTATACCTAAATGAGCAAAACACTGGACTCTCCCCGCTCATGTCGGCAACCGAAAACTCTATTTTTCATGCGGTGACTGCATCGTTGCTTCCCGGGACGGACAGACTCTTAGGAAGGAACAGCGAAAAAAAAAAAGAGGACACTCAGTTAGGAGAAGAAAAGGGGATTTTCTACCATTCAACAAGGACTCCCTCAACTATACGTTAATATTAAAAAATTACACTCGGGAATTGGAAGATATGAGTGTGTACTAATTCGACCCGGGCATTAAAAAATATACGGAAAGGCACTATATTTAGGCCTATATTCACCTGCAAGCATGGTCCTGTTCAAGTCTTGAATGTAGGGAAAATGTTCCATGGCGGACGCGGGAGTTTTGTACCCAAACTCGGAGTCCCCACCGTTGACGGCCTGGTGTGGCATGTACAAGAATAAGGGCTGTAAAACAAAGAAGAAAATATTCTAACCAAGATAAAGAAAACGAAGACGGGCAACCAGGCAGGAAAAAAAGGAAGAAGTGCCCGATCTCTCGATCCCTCCTGCTCGAAGCACCCACCTCTTCCTTCTCCTACAACCCCCTTTAATCATCTGTAAAGAAAGCATCTTTCACCGTAACAGTATGTCTAATTCGCTTAAATACCAGTGTTTAAAGTCGAAAATATTTTAGTACACTCCAATACTAAAAATGTATGAACCAACTGAGTTTTGAGCAGTGAAAAAAAAAAGCTAAAGCGTTTACAGATTTTTGAAAACCAGAGACGACGGACGAAAAAGGGGGACAACACGCAAGTTCTATATTTGCAAGAAAAAATCCACTAATGTCGTCTTCATTTTGACCTCCAGGATCACAAATATAAAGGTGATATTTTAGATTGATGCTCCACAACAACGCTTTCAAAGCAGTGCTGAAGCTCCTTCTCCCCGGCCTCTTCGGTGGGAGGAGAGAATCGTCAAGAGCGAAAGTGTGCAGCCGAGATAATTAGGACGCATCATAATCTGGCGTATTATACAGTGATCTCCCCATTTTCGCGCGTTCTACAAGCCTTTTCGAGCAGTCAAAATGCTGCACGCGTTTCCACAAAATCAAGTTGAGGAAATACAGTCGCAAGCCAGTTGATACCTCTGGTGATGACGTCACACCTAGTGGGTTTTGTTTTGTTCTTTACACTTTTACTTTCACGTTCGAGTCATATGCTTGTGATCTTCAAACACACAAAAGAACAACATAATGAAATTTATTTCTAAACTTTTTTTTCAAGAATTTTCCCGGCTTCCCTTTAACGAGAATTAACTGCATTCGGATCACCGTGTGTAGAAATGGTGCGATAAAACGCGACTTACCTTGTTTTTATCGTGATCCTTGATCAGGGAAATCGCTCTCTTCGTGTATAGCCTTGTTGAGTAAACGCCCCCTTTGTCACGAACGGGCGTTGTGTCATCCCAAAAGTCTAGCCCAACGAAGCTTTCGTTTTTATATTCCTGAAACACAAATGCTTAGAGCAGCTGGTAAAGTTAACGAACCAAGCTATAAACGTGCTAAGCCAATGATTTGAACGTGAACATTTGACTGAGGCGTTTCAGACTGGGGCAAGGCGGACCTCTCTTTTGCACATGCCAGAAAGAGGGAGCACGTTTTTCTGGCTAGAGAAGGGATCCAAATTGCCCACAAGCCAACATTAACACTTGGATGCCTAATGCCACAACCGAAAGATGGACCTCTAAAGCGAGAACTTAAGGAGTTCTGATCAAGAACTTTCGGGAAAGAATCTGCCAGAACCAGACGCTCGAAATTTCAATTTTGAGCTCAGCGCGGTCGCTGGACGTTCCGCCATCAAGGGCCACCGCACCTCGCCAACTTAAAGAACACCCGCATCATCAATCAACATTGAGAATAACAACCGACAAAGAATCTTAGAATTATGGAGCATTCAAACTACGCCAGAAGACATCAATTGGTCCCTCGGCGCTTTATCATCCACCTAAATCAAAGGCCATCTTCATAATCACCCACGCAAAGTTGGCCAAAGACACCTCGAAATATCGCGTCCCTCATGAGGGCTAGGTTGAACGTTCCCCCTTTTTATTAAGCTCATGATGCGTCTTCTTAAAGAGAAGCTGTCAAGCACCTTATATTTAAGGAGTTTCATGAGTTTTCTCTTTATTTTAATACATTTTTGGTTTCGCATTTTTTTTGTGTAAAATTCGGATGTTGTTTTTTTGTTGTTAATTTGTCAGCAATTTTGCGTTTAGAAACTGATATTTTAATAGACTTATACCTTATTTTACATTAGGCGTTAACCGAAGCTTACTTCAACTTCTTTTACACCTTTCAAAGTCCTCGTTGATCGGAGACTTAATCTTATAATGCAAACCCAATGCATTAAACTTAAAGAAGTAACGACCTCAATGTTTTGAGTTGCCTCTTACCCTAGAGGCTTAGTATGGCATCATCATTAGTTAGCAGATCTAATTATATTAGTGCTGTAGAAAATTACTTATTGCGTTATTTTTACTAAGGGACTTCGGTTTTGATTGCTGAAAGCCAAAATTTCGGGGTGACGTCGCGGAACAGGAAGCGCAACTATGTAACAATGACTGTGGTTCATGTGATTCTAAGAAGCGTGACGTCGTGGCGGCTCGTCGTCTGCTTGCATCACAGCACTTGAACATCACCGCCTCCTCGTTACAGTCTTTTTGGTCCATGTAAACGTTGCCGTAGTTTCTTTAAAGCGAAAGCACATCAGAGTTGATTTTAGAGTGACATGGCAGCCAAATACTCTACATATCAATAGATCTTACTTCGCGAAACTCCTATGACCTTGTGACCGACAGCTCTTGTGTAGTTGGAATGTCTGGTTGCGCACAGCCTCGCGATTTTCCTCTTTGAACAGGGTGGAGTGACTGCCTTCTTCTATCGATGTAAGCATTTCTCAAAACAGCGCAGAGAGCCGTCTCTGCTGTGCTGGCGAATCCGGTGTCTTAATGCGTGGGTAGTGGCCCTCTTCCTCGGCGTAGAGCCTAAGCGAAACCGCATAGACAGCGCGATTCGTATGTGTTCTCTAGAACAAGTGGTGTCTGCACCGTTAGGGGAAGACTGGCACTGTAGGCTTACTACCCAAGCAAACCAGCATACTAGAATGTATTCCGAAAGTAAAGTAGATATAGTAACCCTGGGGAGGTCTTTCAGTATTTATAGGACGCACCTTGTCGAACAGATTAAAGAGGGTATTTGCGATATGTTTGAAGCGATGATAATGCAATTGAAGCAAAGGTGCATGCGAGCAGTACAAGGGTGACTATATAATCACTGAAGAAGGGGAACAAGAAGGACAAAGGACGTACATAAGTCTTCAAACACAGCTAAGTGACTGCTGCGCGACCGAAAAAATACGCCTGATTCTGTTTACGAACCAGGGATCTCTTTATTTCCAGTGGAGCGTTCTACCAACTGGGCTAAAAAGGAGTTAGACGTCAGTAGAGCAAACGGGTTTTATCAGCTGCCACCTGTCTAACACCAACAAAGGTGAACGACCTGCATATTAAGGTTATCATGTTAATAAAATTAATACAAATGTGCGAGCGAGCTGGACAAGTATGGCAATAATAATCCCTGGAGAGGGGGAATAATAGGGACAAAAAACAAACACAATTCTCCAAATACAGCTAGGTGACTGCAGGTGCGGTTTGGTCGCGCACCAGTCGCCTAGCTGTGTTTGGAGATTTGTGTATGCCCTTTGTCCCCCTTGTTCCCCTTCGACAGAGATTATAATCCTCATGCTTAAACTGGCCTTTTTTTTACTCGAGCGGTACCATGGTGGAATAAGTGGTGAATGTCCCAATTAATAATCATAATAAGATAACTGCAGAGCCGTTTTGCAAGGCTTTTATTGGTGGTGTGGCTGCTAAATGTGAATTTGTCAACATTTGATGCTGTTATTTCTCCTTTTTTACTACAAGCGCACGCTGAGATTACATTCTGAAGCCGCTATAAATACTGACATGTTTACCCCGACGAGAACGTGCTCGAATCACGGCGCACTTTCAGGGACGGTCAGAAACAACATGGATCGACAGAGACCTCTTCGAAGACCCGGAACCAAAGCTTTCGAACATCGGCCAAAGCTAGCAACGTAAATGGGTCTTCGTATTCCTCGTCTTTTAACGACAAGCAGAGCTGCTGCTGCGACGACATAAACTTACAGAGGCTGCTCAACCTCCTCTTGATCGAGGCCAACTGCCACCACCAATCACGCCGGGACCCGCCGGTGGCGCAATATCGTCGCATCACAGTGGTTATATAATAGGGACCAGCATACTCGCGAGGTGGACACAAAATGGGACTGACCAACGCTACCATTACCTAATCATGGGTCAATAAACATCGTCAACGAATATCCTTAACCCGATCTGTCCGTCGCGTAGCCACAGCCATAAACAATATTTGAGAAAAAAAGGCTTCAAATCCTAGACAGGATTTCGTGTGCTGTCTTTTGCGACACTGACCCTCTGAGCCAGGTACGTAACCAGAGGGGGTGTCGTCTGGGCTAGCCCTCCCCCCCCCCCCCCCCCCGAACAAAAATTCAATTGGGTCATCACCCTTTAAAAAAAGAATAGGGAAAGGACTTGAACATGAGCAGCGCACTCCACTGGGCTCATCTTCGTACCTTTTTACGGTGCCAAACGGAAGCGCCCGTAGTACAGGGTGCACTTTACGGCGTAGCGCAACAGATGCAAGTCAAAAATTAGAAATTCCAGTCTCCCCCACAACAACTTCTGTATTTGTTATAGGGCCCCCATGACCCTTGCTTGTGAATGGCGCCGCGCAGTCATCTCCGTGGGGCAAGGGTGTGCACGTGTGTTTGAAGTTCGCCAACGTGATCTTTTCAGACCTTTGAGATGAGTCGAGTGGCTAATCCTGTATCCCCTCGTGCCCCAAAGTCTCTCCTTTTATACCTCTGGTAAGACAAGTGTTAGTTTTAAAAGCAGACTCTCCTTGCAATCCCGCAAGTGTGCAAAGTTCGTAGTGCGACAACCTTGTCTACGAGATGTTCCGTGACGGAAGGCAAAACGTTGCGACAAGAGGGGCATGAACGAGGACGGAGCCAGCAATTGCTCGAGAGCCAGCAAGCGACAAGTATCAACACTGAAGTAGACAGGCCTTTTTCTAAAGTGCAAAGGTATGCGCTGAATAATCGGGGATTCGCTTGTTTTTGGTTGTAATGATTTGATACCTGATTTATCTATTTTCGAGTGGAGATACTGGGAATTCGTGAATAGATAAGCAATTTAAAAAGCTAACATGTGCATTTGTAGAAAAGGTAATTACAATGAGGCATACTGGATGATCTCACTCGGTATCATAAATTTTACAGGTACACTTCAATTGTGAGAATTTGACCCCAATATGCTTAAATGTACAGCATATAATTAACACTGGTGCTGGCAGAGAGCACCTAGAGAGCAAGAAATTATTTTGCCTCTTCCCCTCTCCTCGTGAACAAATCATGGCTACGTGCCTGCTCTGAGCTATAGGTAACTCTGTGGCTGCCCACCACTTTCAGATACGTTACGTATCTAGTGCGGCTGTGCTCACCAAGTAGATTTCGTGCCTGTAATAGTCTTCACCATTGTTGTAGAAGCCATAGAAGGAATCAAATCCCCTGTACGTTGGCGTGTAAATTTTCTTGTAATATCCTAGATGCCACTGCAAACAAAGTAAACATTACACATTTCTTCTATTGCCATTCCTGCAACGATTGAGAAAGACGCAAAATACAAAAAGAAGTAAAGTTACTTTTCCAATAATGTGACTTATGTAGCCGAGCTCACTCAGGTACTGAGGCATGATGGTGAAATTGGGCGACAAGCCCCATGGTTCCGCCACGTGATGAATACCATGCTGCAAACCTGTGTACGGTGAGATCATTGGTTATGATTCATGGAATTTTGGCGATAAATTAGCAGTCGACAAACCTTCGTGGAACATCAACACTAGTCGGTTCATGTAATTGAGATGTTAGACATGAATATAACTAGAAAAACAGAAGACAGAAAGGTATTTCCTCAGATCTATGCTTAGTAGGAAACCTTACCTTTGGTTAATGTCACTCTAAACCAACACATGGCGATGGGATAGCCTTCCAGACCTTTACATCAATGCAACATATCATGTGTCGTGGCCCCAGCAGGGGGCACCTGTGAAAGCAGGTTTTTGGAGAGTGCCGTCTCCAGGGCGCGTCTGCACATTTGGTGGTAGGTGCTTGGTGAGTAGCGTCACCACGGACCCCAGCCACGCGGGTCACTATACCAGTACACTCTTAAAAAAAATAAAGGCACTGTAGTACCCTCCTTGAGGGGGTAACCGACTTGCACACAGGGCAACCCCTTTTGGAGGTAACGTTACCCCCTTCAACGAGGATGCAAACTTACCCCCAGGGTTAGAGTGCAACATTGCCGCCTTTTGGAGGGAACCTTAGTTCCTTTTAGTGTTCGAAGTGCATACTTTCAAGGTCAGCTTTCACCTCCTTTAGGAGGAAACTTCAACCCCTTGAGAGGTAAGACGACATATGTGAGAGGGCTGCTTTTCCCTCCTTTTGGGGTCAACAGCACCTGCTTTGGGATGCTGGTTTTCGCTCCATATAGAGACAACAGTTGGCCCATTTACGGGGCAATTGTAAACGCCCCTAGTTTTAATTTTTCCCCCTTATGGAGGGAACTATGATCAACTTTAGGGTGATATGTACACGATGAGGAAAATAGCTAAAAAAACGCGGACTACGATTAACGAATAGTCCGCGCTTTCTGAGCTGTTTTCCCCATCACATCAACCAACTGATCCAGTTCACCACCTTATTGCAGGCTCAGTGTACACTTGATGGAATCTCTTTTCCCCCCTAAAGGAAGGTACTATGACCCTTTGTGGGTGTGATAGTACATGCTTCAAGAGTGACGCTTATAGTAGATGAAGACGGCACTAGTACTGAAAGTAAATGACAATGTTTTATTGCGGCTGTCACCAACAAAATGGAATAAGAATCAATAGCACGACTAGACATCTTATAAAAGTTATAAGCGCAATAAAGGCCTTTGGAACAACACTTTCGGGACTTTAGTCCGTGAGAGTCAATAAAATAATCACAAAAAGGTGCATAAACAATTAGCGTATATCCGGCAAATAAAAGTGAATGCTTTGAACACTGCTTGGAAAAGCGAAGCTTGATCAGGGTGAGCTCAAATGACGGAGTCTTGTACAAACCAGTATCAAAGTGAACGCACTGTGATATAACATACATTAATTATCACACATTATGCAAAAAGCAATAGAAACCAAGACATGACTAGTAATGGCTAGTGCGTTGCCACTCAAGCACAGCAGTACACTATGCCCGTCCTATTCACAGTAGTGGAATGAATGCTCGAGTATATAAAAGTAGACTCTGGGATATGCTCTTCTAATATAGAAAGAAGAAAGGGGTCGTATATCCTGCTGCAAATGAGCTACAACCGACTAGCGAGAGGGCCAAAAGGATCTAACCCACTTCAGATGAATTGTAAAAATCAATTTTGACCATCTTGTATTTAAACCCTGCAAGCCATCAAAATCCATCTTGTATTTAAACCTTGCAAGCACAAATCTATGTGAACATAAAACCACAACCCTCAAATGCTTTCAGGCGCCAAGTATTAAGTAGACTAGAATAAATCAAGTATGCCAATGCTGCAGAAAGCAAAAAGCTGTGATTCTAGAAATCACAAAAATGTGACTATAAAGCAATATCATTACCCCTCTGCAACTCTCGAAATCAACCATCAACTTATGTCAGACAAAACAAAGCATTAAACAGACGACATAAAAAAATTCGTAAACCTTCACAAGAAGGCATTAAAAATAAAATACGACCCCCGATTCACAAGGCGTCTATTCGCCCGGCCGCCCTGCTCCCGGTTCGCCGGGCAGCCGCTCTCCCCCTTCCTCCACCCGCACACACATACATTGGGAAAAGCTCGTGGCTACGCCACTGGTTAGCATATGTCAATCTTCTAAATATGCGTTAGGGGAAGCGACAGTCATTCTAGTTCTTGCTTTTTATGAGCGTCGATGGTCTAAACCGTGCCTTCGTTCGCACCACACAATTTCCTCGAACGCTCGACGCCTTCAAACGTGAAAACATGTCCGCCACTCCTTTGTCTAGGGGGTTCGCCTTCCCGGGTTTGTCATAACCGAAGCCAAGCGTCGCCCTGGGCAGAACATTTTCCTACCTGCATACGGTGCACACGACATGGATCTTCGACTGAAGCCAATGCAGTGCTTTCGGTGACTTCGTAAGAAGAGACTGAGCCGAACAGAAGAATAAAGAACGTTCCTGAGCTGCGATGCTTCCGTCGAACGTACGAGAAGAAAGACCGTTATGACTGGAGGGGAGCGTCGGCGGGGAACGCGCTCGGCACCGGGCAGGCGCTCGCCTACGCATGCGCGAAGAATGACGTGTCATACGAGGATACCAATTAACGAACTCGGTTGCGGCTTTCCACAGCGAATCGCAGCGCCCAGGCTCTGCCAACGCCCAAACAGATGCATCCTCTGGAAGGTATTATTTCCCTCGTTGCTGCTCCTTCGTGGCGAACTTCACCTTGTAGCAACGCATTCCTAGTGTCTGCTGCGCCTGTGGAGGTAACAAGCGGAGCGCTCCCCCCCCCCCCCCCCCTTCTAGCCGGGAGGAGGGTGGTAAAGGCGGTCTGTTACCTGCTTTTGGCCCCCTTTTTTCTAAGAGTGTACAAAGGCGGCACCTACTTTAATAGATGCTTGGTGAGTGGGGTCACTACGAACCCCGAGCCGTGTAGGTTTGCTCACCCACGCCTGACTGTGCGTGGCTTAACCGTGTCAGGGGAGAAGGGAATCCTGGTGGTTGAGCTGAGCTTAGTGTACGTTTGGACGCTTCGGGGCACCCCGGTCGAGGCAATATACCGCTTTGGCCCCTGCTTCTCGCAGACGGGTGTCCTGGCTTGGCCCGACTAGGATGATTCAGTCAGTCGCCTCTTCTACACTCTTCTTCGTTCTTTCACTATTCCTTCTAACTCTTTTTCTTTTCTCCTACACTCTCTTCCCTCCTTTTTCATTTTCTTAGGCGCCAAGGGCCAACCCTGAGGGGAAACAGGACCTTTCCCTGCGACCACACCAGAGTATAGTGCCCGGACAGCACTGGTAGAGCAATTGCGTCAGCGAAGCCTTCCTTGCTATGGCACATTAACTACCCCCTTGTTGGGCTCCGTGGCGGGTGATGCACCCGGGCACAGAATTGTCTTTCCCATCGTTATGGGTCTGCACAACAAACCCTTCCTTGATTGGCGTCTAAAAAGAGTACGCACCGAAGCTCGCACACTTGATATTTCAGCAGTAATTACTGCGCAGTATAGTAAGTTTTTGGTGATGCACTCCGAAACTGAGAAACCACTAAGTAAACTGTCCCTTTTCTTGTCGCGAAAACACTAGAGGGTGTTGTGGGAAAGACTTTTCAGGCTAATAAGATGACATCAGGTGACCTCCTCGTAGAGATTCACACAAATATCCAGAGTGATGCTCTTCTAGCATTGAACTCAGTCTCCGATTACAAAGTCAACGTAACCCCCACCTCACAATAAATACGCTACAAGGTGTAATTTCCAAAGATTATTTGCTCGAAACTTCAGAAACAGAAATTGTAGAGGGCCTTTCCAGCCAATGTGTGATCGCCGTACGGCGCATCACACTTCGAAGTGATCGCATAGAACACAAAACAAAACATATTGTACTGACTTTTGCAACGACCAGCCTTCCACAAGCTGTCAAGGCAGGTTACCTGCATTGCCGCGTCCGGCCATACACACCGAGCCCGCTGCTCTGCTTCAAGTGCCAGCAATTCGGCCACGGCTCGCGGAGCTGTCGCGGATCTGACACGTGTGGAGGTGCTCTAGCAAAGAGCATCTCGCAGATCACTGTGAGAATGAACCAACATTGCGAAGGAAAGCATGCTGCAAGTGAAGTCTTTTTGTTTCCCTTCCGTGAGGATTGCGTCGGTGATGATGTTCAAAGCCGGAGGCGGCAGGTCGCCAGATCGCAGCGACGAAGGGTTTCTGGACGGGACTCAACGGTCGATGATGAGAAGGATGAATATATTTACAAGACAAATCAGTTGAAAGTTACAAGACGCTTTTGTTAGGCCGAGACCCTTCGGCCCCTCTTCTGTCGCTTATATAAGCTCCCTCATTGCCCCGCGGGTTTACCGACCAATCACAAAAGGTCCTCTCGCGGCCAATCAAGGAGACCACTCATAAAACCAACAAAAGCACTCCAAAAAGACTCACACAGAAACACACATACACACAGGCACACACATATATGTCGGCGACCCGGCAGTCTCCGTCAGCGACTGGAAGGTGAGACCCCCCGGGCCGCGAACCCGACTCCCGAAGGCACCACCAGAAACCCTTGGTCAGTGGCTCTTCACATCTGGGAAGGGGACGCGAAACAAAACACAAACACAAAACGTACTCAGCGCGTCGGAAGTACAGCCGCTTGAGCAGTCCCTGACCGAGGTTACGAACGGGCGGCGCACATTAGGAAGTGCGGACGCGCGTCCCCCTCTCGTCCCGACTTCCATTAACAAGTCGCCGACGACCAGGCGCGGGGAGAAACACAACAGATAACGAACTCACGCGGGACCCGCTTCTTGGAATCCTCCGCGCCTACTCGTGTGCTCCGGGAGACCTCACACATTCCCAACAAATATATCTTCGCTTCGTCGCATTCTCCGCGCCTGCTCATGTGCTCAGTAAACCTAACACTGCATACTCTCGTTCTTGCTCTCTCTGGAAGCAAGAAAAATAAATACTTACACTGAAGGTCCAAGAGAACATTTCATTCCACGAGG